TAGATAAAAAGAAAAATGTTTGATGTAATTTTCGAAGTCATAATAGACCTTTTTTCTTGCTAAACTACAACGTTATAAACTGTTATCTGTAGTCTTTTACAATGATTCTATAATAATTCTATATTAGAAAAGAGTCTATTAAAAAACAGTCATATCTCTTATCAGGGAAAAACGAGCGAGGAATAACAGCTTAGAAGTATACTCTCTGTATTTAGATTGGTAAATAGAGTAAAGATACTTATATATATATATATATATATATATATAAAGTAATCTTCATAAAAATTGGAACACCTCGAATTTTGAATAGGCCAACATCTTAATAATCTTTTTCACTAAGAAAAAAGACTTTTTTTTATTTTTTTTTCATAAAATGTTAGATTAAACTTTAATTTATATAAAATTTTCTTTCAAATAGGATTTGGGTAAGATTTTACATAATTTTTTGTTTGTTTATAGTAGGTACTGTTTTATTGACTATTTTTTCTTATTTGGCCGCGCTTCATAATAATTGGAACAGGAGAAAAAATGTTCATATTAGTCTTATTTTTGGATTTGACTACCATCTTTTTCAATACATTGCCTGATCATATGCCCCATTCCATCATATAGACCTGGTAACAGCCCTGGCTACTCTTTTATAAGCTCAAAAGAGCATTTTTAATTTTTTTCCATAATTCATCCTCAGATTTGAATTGTGGACCATCATATACCAGGTTTTTGGTGAGGTGCCATATGTTCTCAATTGGGCTGAGATCTGGGCTCTTTGCTGACCAATCAAGAGGGTGGATACCATTCATCTGATATCTTTTTTTCCTCAATCTCTTCAATAACAGGGAGAACATCTTCCACGATAAAATGGCTATAGTTTTCACCATTAAGTTTTTTCGTTATCCTCCACAGCTCAAAGATACCATCAGATGTTATTAGCCCCCAGACCATTACTCCACCTCTGCCCATATTTTTTGTCACCCTAAAGTCTTTTTTGCCATCTTTGGTTTAAGTATAAAAATGATCTGGCCCACTCAGTGAGAATCTAGCATCGTCACTGAATATTACTTTAGACCAGTCTAGATTATCACTGATCATCTCAAGGCAGAAATTTTTTCTTCTCTTGCAATTTTTTTTTTGTGAGATCAGGTCTTTGTCTAACTCTCTTATACTGCTAACAGAAGAGGGTGCCAATCCTAAAGCTCTTGCTGTGGCCCGTAGTTTTCCTAAGTCATTGTATTTCTTGAATACAAGATCCCTAAGTCAAGTGAGTGTTCCAATAATTATGAAGTGCGGCCAAATAAAGAAAAAATTGATGAAAATTACCAAAAATATTTTGCTTATAATATTTAAATTAAAAATTTACGGTGTCCTAATTCTTATGAAGTTTACTATATATATATATAGAGAGAGCGACTCGTATTTAAAATACCTCCACTTTCACCTAGTCTTAGAAAATTTAAATGTTCTTTTAAAACGGAGGAGAATGAGGAGGAAGAGCAGAAGAAACAGTTGTGGTAGGAGGATAATGAGGGGGAGGAACAAGGAACCGCAGCTCTCAACATTTTTAAATTACACTCTTTCTTTGAATCTGGTCAGCAAATGAAAAAACCCCTTCTAGGTAATCTTTCTTTAATAACGAGCAACTAAGTAAGATGATGACTAGTTCTCACTCTGAATTGTCGAGGTTTAGGATGAAATTAGAAACCTTTAATGCTTTTGTAATAGACTGTTATAAATAGTTAAGGAAATTGGAAATATTTATAATAATAAACCAACTGAGAGACTTTATATCAGATTTTGGCATTTTTTTCATTCCTTTTTCTTTCTTTAGTTTTATATTAATGCAAGATTAAGCCGTCACGAAACTTCCGGACCAGAAAAGTATCTCCCAGATTTTTTATGGTATCTTAGACAAGTTGAAAATAGTAATATACCAGATATATAGAAAAAGGAGACAGGGACAGAGAGAGAGAGAGTGAGGAAAGGAGATAGAAAGATAGCAAATAACAGTGAGAAAAGAAGAGAGACAGAAACAGTAAGAGAGATGTAAATATACAAGCTCTAATTATAAGAGTAATATTTAATATACAGTTTGACATACCACATGTATGTTTTATATATATATATATATACCCCGCTTAGTGGCAGCTATCGCATGCAAGTAGTTAAAAATCAATGCCTTCTGACATTGTTTAGTTTGATTATATTTCATTTTAATTCACAGCTCTAGAGGTTTTTAGTTATAATATTTCCAAGGAATATCGTCGATTGCAACACAATCGTACATAAAATGATAAAAATATGACTTTTCACAGACAGATGACAAATTTGAGAGCTTTCTCCCATATTCCCTGCTTCTCATAGTCTTATGAGCTATATACATTTTCTCATTATAATGTTCCAGGTACGCTTACGATTATATTACGATGCTGGAAAGAAAAGACATATATATATATATAAGTATATACAATATATATACTCTATATATACAGTATATATTTTTATATTACGAAAAGAAAATCATTAATTTTCCGTCATTACTGTAAAAGAGAGAGAGATGGGAGAGATGGGAAAGAAGAGATTTCTTCAAATTCGATAGACGAATTCTCTATGAGAAAGTAAATAAATAAGTGAAAATCGCTGAGCCGTTACAAATGATCTATAGTCGATTAAAATTCATGGTACTTAATAACTAAGTGTAAAAGGTTATTTAGTTCAAAATTGAGGTTGATTGCCTGTTAGGAAGGAGTATGGCTTTATTCTTTAAATATCGTCAATTAATTCGTCTAATTCTCTTAGAGAAAGATTAAGTAAAGGAGAGATTTACTTAATTAGTTCATTTTTTAATTAATTTACTTTTTCTCTTCTTTCATTTAAAGGATTAAAATTTAAATCCTTTTCTCTATAATTCGCCTTTCTTTACATAAAGACAAAGTCTCACATTTCATTTATGAACGTATAAATGATTATATCTACAGGCTTCAGAAAATGATCACACACGCATACCTATTCTCACAATAGAAGCACTTAATTATCCAAGGCTGCCAGAGAATTGTCCTAGCAACAGTTCTCCTTATAAAATGCTATAGAATACCAAATAAAACACGAGAGTTTAACCAATAATTAAACGATCGACTTTGGTTTGTTCCGCCAAAGGAAAACACCAAAAAGGATGTTCCATTGTTTATTTAATATACAGTCTATATACCGTCTATAATATACTCTATTGCCTTCTTTTATTCTCTTTTCTTATATGAACTAATATCGAGTGGGAATAGAGCAAAATGTAAACCTAATGTTAAAAGATAAAGCCAAAAGGGGCAAGGAGTGCTTTGTCTGTTGTCCTTAAGATGCGAATACTTTGCGTAATTATATTCATATTAAGATCGACAGTTTGTCGCCTTTGCCTGCAAGCGTTGTTGAGTAGGCAAACGAAATATTCTCTGTGTTAATCATTTAATACTATCCATTAGGATAAAAATAGACTGGCAGATTTCTTGTTTTATTTCTTTGGAAACTAATTAGAGAAATAAAGTGAGAAGAGAGATAATTATACATATATATATATATATATATATATATATATATAAACAATATGCTATATACATCAATCGTATTATATAGGCGTATGTATATCCATATATACAATATACGTTTAACTATTGAACTATATATAAAATCTCACGAAAATAATCAGAGAAACGTTTAGGGAGGGAATTAGTCGAGGTAAGAAATTAAATTCTGAATTTACAATTCAATAAGTTGATACTACAAAAAAATATAATCTAGATAAATGAGAAGTGTTAAAAAAGAGAGAAGTGAGAGTTAGAATTAAGAATGAAGGATTTCAATAAGCCAACTTTGCTGAAACCTTAAAATACAATATTCCTATTTTTTTTTCAGTCATTACTTTTTCTTTGTCTCAATCAGTTGATTTTATTAAAAGTATAAAGAATTTATCAATGAAAAACACGGTAGCGAAATATAGAAAGAGAGAATTTTTTTTCTTATCTTATTAGACTTTAGTGCATCTGCCATCTTTTAAGTACTTATCTATCTTTTTTTTTAATAAAGCGTGATTTATTTATAAAGGTAGATTGCTAAATTTTCTCTTCCACTCTCTTTCTTCTTCTTGTTTCTTAAGTTTAATCAATTTCAAAGTACATTTGTTATTTCCTTTTTTTTCCTTTAAACAGTTTAATATAAGCCTATATAGTGTATATGAATAGAGATAGCATGTATACTAGATGGTATTTATTGTCGAAGTAGTGGCGACAATAAATGCACGAGTTGTTATAACGAAGATCTGAAGGGCTTAAAACTAAAAGACATCACAAAGGTAAATTAAGGTCTCGGCTGCTAGATGAAATTAGAGCAAACTGTATTTTAAAGGAAAACTTCAATAGGACATTAAAGCAAAATTATATTCTATATACCATAGTTTTATATGACAAAGAATTTATTCAATCGATAATGTTGCCAGTGCATGCATTCTTTATAGTATTTTTTAGAATGAAATGCTTTTTACCTTGATCCTATATGTTTAGGTAAATTTATCTAAGAAACTTAGACGTAATCAATGGACTAATCCTTCATAAAAAGTAACGGTTTCACGCGTTGCTCTTTTTCTTTTTTCCTTTTTAATTTCTCTATTTTTGTGTTTTCTATGGCTTTGTTTTATTTTTGGTTCTTTGTATTCCATTTTATACATCTCTATATTTATCTTTTTAAATATTTATCCTTTATCCATCATTTCTAACATCCGTCCGTTCGTCTACTCTAGTTTTTCATTACATTTAACAACTCTGTAAACTTTGGACCTTTGCCCTTACAAAGCCATAAAGTCTTTTACGAAATATCTCTCTGGGACCCGACTTTTAGCTATAGAATCTACGTAATGTTTTGAAATTGAACAATACTGACTTACCATCTCTTTAGCGTAGTACATACAGTACATTTTATATATTTATGATTCGCTTTCTCATTATTTCTTTCTATTTCTGCAGATGACAGGGTTTAATATGACAAATACTGTTTATCCTCTAAACTCAACTAACGCAACAAATTCAACAACACCGATGGTAATGTTACGGGAGACTTGGGTACGAGCCGTATTAATAACGCTATATGCTTTTGTCTTTATACTTGGTTTGTCGGGCAATATTCTAGTGGTTTTTGTCGTTGTTCGTAACAGAACAATGCAAACAATTACCAATATTTTTATCAGCAATCTAGCAGTCAGCGACATTATGATGTGTTTACTTGCTGTACCATTTACCCCAATTTCCGCTTTGCTGGACGGCTGGGTATTTGGTCAAGCTCTTTGCCATCTTATTCCAATGGCTTTAGGAGTCTCTGTCTACGTATCAACTTTAACTTCAACGGCTATAGCTATTGATAGATATTTTGTAATAGTTCATCCATTCAAACCGCGTATGAGGAAGGGTGTTTGCCTTTTGTTAATTGTAGCCATTTGGATAATATCAATATCTATATCATTGCCATTAGCTATTTATCAAACATTAGAGTGGGATTCAGATAATGATGCACCATCTTGTTTCGAATCATGGCCAAAACAAAATGCGAGACAATTTTTTACAGTAACAAGTCTCGTTTTACAATATATTGTACCGTGTTCAGTTATAACGTACTGCTACGTGAATGTAAGTACGGTGTTGAGAGTAAGAGCTCAAGCAAGATCACAACATCGAAGATGCAGAGACAGGGACGAAATAGAAATAAAGAGGAAGAGGAGAACGAATAGAATGTTGATTGCTATGGTTTGCATATTTGTAGTGTGTTGGTTACCGTTAAATATTGTTCTCATCTTTACCGAATATAAAAGAACTCTTGATAATTGGGAGTACTATGAGCATCTTTTCTTATCGGCTCATGTCATTGCTATGTCATCAACAATTTATAATCCATTCCTTTACGCTTGGATGAATGAAAATTTTAAAAAGGAATTCAAGCAAGTAGTACCCGGTTTATTTTATATTTTTGGCCAAAGTTCCAGAGCCGGAAATGCTGCAACTGCTTCCCAGTATACAACTGTTGAGACTACAGTAGTTGCCGCCAGAAATGGAAATTTAAAACCAAATGAAAATGACGCTGCCTTTGACTCTCAGACGGAAACTGTTGCTTTGAACGTGAGACCGAAAGAAGATGAGGATTGAATGAGCTTTTTGCTTATATATATTTTTCATAATAGAGGAGTTAAAGTATGTATGGTTTAATACGGTGTCGAAGAAATAACAAAGGCTTACTTTATCCTGAAAAGAGAGAAGAAGGGGAAGGGTAAATAAACGGCATTTTGAATTTAAATAGACAGAATTCTTTATTTCCCCTTGAATTGAAAACAAAACAATCAAAGAAAAATAAATATAAATAAATAAACAATGAACTATTGCGTCAACAAAAGTTAACAGCAACGGAAAAGTGTTATTAATGCTACAACTTCTACAACAACATCTACTATTATTTCTACTATTTCTACCATAGCTAAAAAAGACATGAATATCAGAAACCCTTATTGTATATATATATATATATAAATGTATATATACATATAGTGTATATATATAAATATCTATATATGTATATATATATATATATATATATATATACAGTATATGTATAAGTATAAATATGCTAACAGACACTCACGTACATACATACATACATAGACAAATACACACACACACACACACACACACATAAACGCATACGATAACAGTTAAATCTTACATATATCTCTAAAAGCTAAATAAGGAATAAAAAAATTCAAAAATTAACAAACAAAACCAAAAAATAAAAATTAAAAGACAAGAACCAAAAATACGAAAATGACAAAAAAGTACGAAGAAATCATTTATTAAAATGTTATTACAAACATTTTCTGTTTGTTGTTTGTTCTTTACTTTTATTCCATAATTTTATTATCGTTATTATTATTATTACCATCATCGTTATTATTTTTTTTATTATTAATCTTTTCCTTTTCTCTTAACTGTTTCTCTAATTGAAAAAAAAGACAAAAAACCCAAAAAAACGAGGTTAAACGAGCTAAAAAAAAAAACAAAAAAAAAATAAGAAACCAAGAAAAATAAATAAATGAAAGATTTTAGAAAAGATAAGAAATTAATTATAAAAAACGTAAAATCCGTCTAATAATCTGCAGAAATTTTGGTGGGCAGACACATGCAAAACAATGCTTGTTCAGTAAATTGTTTTTAAGGGAGAATGGTTTGTAAATATATTTTTCTCTTTTTCTTTACCTTCTCCTCCTCCTCCTTCTCCTCTTCTTCTTCTTCTTCTTCTTCTTTTTCTTCTTCTTCGTCGTCTTCTTTTCTTTAGTTTCATTTAGTATTTTTTCGTGTTGACAAAGGAAGGAAACTGTGGAAACATTAGTACTGATATTTGTGTTAGATAGCAGATATGTAATTTGAGACAATTGCCAGGATAAGAGTGAGTGACAGAGACAGAGAGAGTGGGAGAGAGAGGGACAGGGGGAGAGAGAGAGAGAGAAGGAGAGGGAGAAAGAAACAAGAGAGAAAGAAAAACATTAAAAGCAACAATTATAACATTTAATAAATATTGTATAGGAAATGAAACAATGTATTAAGGACGAGACAATAATAAATAAACAGAGAAAATAGTTGCTACTTTTAAACATGTTTGTACATGTAAATAAAAAGTCAAGATAAAATACACTCTTTACTCCAATGATGACACGAATAAGAAGTGTAGAAAAAGAGGTCGGTAAAGAGGATGTATATATAAAGTGTATGAATATATATACAGTATATATATATATATAAAATATATATACTAATATATATATATATATATGTGGGTAGTTAGATAGTTAGTCAGACATGAATAACAACAACAACAATATATATATATAATATACAGTATATATACAGTAGATATTTTTAAGCGACAATAATCAGGACGAATGAAAATTCGCAACAAGGTTGAAAGAGTGTTTGATGCTATGCGCTCAATACGCTCGTAAAGATTGCCATTGCTAATGAGTTGTTGATTCACTTTTCAAACAAAACTGTATTTAAACGATAAATGATAAATCTAAGGCAAAATCTATTCTATCTTTTTTCTTTTTTTCTTTAAAACTTCCTTATTAGGAGATTGTAATTTTGTTTTACAAGCGAGATATTTTCCCATTTATATCTCTTAAATTGAATCTATTTTAACATTTACATTTTCCCTCATACCTTCATCCTTTACTCCGTCAGTTTTAATTTTTTTCCACTGCAAATGATGCTAATATTGCATAATGTCAAATATATACAACGCTCAGTATTCTACGTAGGAGAATTTGTAGAGTAAATTTCATTCCCCTCTTTTGTTTCATTATTATTTATACGTTGTATTTTTTGTTTAATTCATATTAAATTGTTCTCTTTGTTTGTTTATTTGTTTGTTTCTTTGTTTGTTTTTATTCATTTAAATTTCTTATTATTAACTGATAATACTCTCATTATTTTCCACATTGTTCTTTGGATGTTTAGTATATCTGATTGCTTCTTTATTCCTGTTTCTTTATCCCTATAATAATATTATTATAATCATTATTTTAGTATTCTTGTAAAAAAAGAAAGGTATACTTTTTCTTTAAGTCTTATTTCTTTCCAGTACGAGAGATAAGGGAACAGATAGTGCGATAGAATATTGTAGATATGAGAATCAATGGATCAGTGATAGAATAGCATTAGAGCTAAAAGGATCTCTTAAGCTATTCCCCTAATGAGGGAATCGGATAAGAGAGAAAGCAAGAGCTGAGAAATGAATTATAATGATAAATATGAAAGAGAAAGAATATAATTTTCATTCTCGTACAGTGAATAATTTCTCTTCAGCCGATCATAAAAAGAGATTGAAAAGGGAGATAGAAAAAGAGAGGAGGAAAGAGAGATAGTAGTAAAGAATAAGATGTGAATCGAAAATGACTGATGGTTCAAAAGGTATGGTCCCCAGTCAATAAAATATAGAAGAGAATGAATAAAATGGTTTCCAGTTTCTGACTTCTATCTGGTTACTCTAATTCACGATACATTATCAGTTTATAGCATTTAATGAGAAACTTATTACTTCTCTTTTCTACATTGTAATATCCCTTAAAAATAGGAAAGCAACAAAAAATATATATACTCGATTACTCGATCTCTCCTTCTCTTTCCTCCCTTTTCGTCTCTCACTCTCACTTTCTCTCTCTTTCCCTCTCTCTCTCTCTTTTACTCTTTTTCCCATATTACATTTCTTATAATATCAAGAAAATAGAACCATAAAAAAATTTTGATCAATTATTTTTCTGATTAAAGAAAAGAGAATTTTATGAAACTGCAATAATTCACAACTAAAGATGATCTTTCCGCTGATCTATTTATCACTTAGTTATGATACGTACACTATTTTACTGCTTTCTAACTCTTTTTGCTTGTTTGTTAATTGCAAAATATGTCTTTTCTCATAAAATAAACAGAATATACATTCATTTCATCGAAAAATGGAAATAAACCTAGAGGAAACGATTAAAAGTTGAGCGTATTATACAAGTAAACAATAAAATTCTCATTTTACGTGTAAGACAAAAAATAACTGTGAGACTTTGAACTTGGCTTAGGCCTAAAAAATGATATTTAACTATATATATAGACTATATATACATATATATAGTTATATATAGTTATGAAACCGTAGAAATATATTGCAGATTAACTCGGTCTCATTAATACAGGCGCTTTGTAGATGTTAATATTAATGGATTTGGACGGTAGAGTTTCCACTTAATAGTACTATTTAGGGCATATATATATATATATATTATATGCATATTGGACGGAATGCAGTATTCTTACTGATGCGAATTTATTCAAACACCTCATATTTCTTATCGCTACAAGAGTGTGGAAGGAAAGAAGAGTATATATTAATCATATTAATATTTAAGCGCAATAAAATGTCAATTTGCTTCCCACTCCTTAAGATACCGCTATTAAGAACAGTTTTTTCCCTAGGCTTATTCGTTTGTATAATATACGAACATGCAACTAGATTAGTCGATAAAAAGCCGAAACTAAACGAAACTAAATTGAGGAAAGCTCATATAATTAAATACACGGAAAATTACAGCCAGCAGTGGTCGTATAGTAAAAGAAAACGCTGTAAAACTCGGCTTTTTAAGCCACCCAATCTTTTTATTACAACATATTAAACTTTGCTTTTTAATGGGTAGTTTTACGTCTTGATTAGTGAAAATATAAGGTTTGTACGGTTAAGGTTTCCGTCCATTAAAAAGGGTCGAACAAGGCTGAAGGGAATGAAACTCATTCTAATCGTTCTTAAAGTATCCTGATTCCAAGTATCTTTGACCTTTTATGCAATCTCGAATGGCTGATTAAGGAAAGATGATGTCAGTGGCTGTTCTAATTTTACATAGGAAACAATAGAAACTTTTATTTCATATATTTTTTATGCAATTCTCTACTAAAATATAAACGAGAAGGATATAGGAGAATAAGAGAAAAAGAAAAATAAATGTCATTAGCCGACCTAAAATTGCTTGCTTTCCTTGTAGGAGAGTTAGAACAAGTTGGAATAATTGGATTTCCGTTGTATCAAGTGCTCCCATTAGATTATCCGCATTTCAATATTAGCGTAGGATCTGATAAGATTATTAGAGTTAGATGATTATTTATAATCAACCTTCATTGCCTGCACCCCATCCTTTCCATCTTTGTCCCTCTCCTCTTATTAATTATAATGCTTAAAAGACTACGCTAAACGACATCCATTGTACTGTAAAATCTTACACTTTTCTCACACGATTTATTGTTACAGACATAGTAATGACCCTGAAAAAGCCAAGGATTCCTTGATGAGTACATCTCTCTCTTTTTTTCTTTCTATTTTTTGTATTTCTCTTCATACATCCATTATTATTTTAGTTTCCTATCAATTTTATAAAGTTTAATAAAGCTAATGAATATACAAACAACCTTTGTTGCTCCATAATGTATTCTATTCTTGTAATAATTTTTTTCTCAAATATTTAGATAGCTTTCTTTTATGGATATTTTTCTCTTCGTTTGTTCCTGCTCCCTCCCTCCCTTCCTCCCTCTCTCTCTCTCTCTCTCTTATTCTCTACCTCTACTCTTTCTTATTCTGGAAAAGGTTTGAGGGGAGTCAAAATCCGTATAAAAAACTCTTTACCATGGATAGGAACAACTTAACAACACGACTGACTATGCTTCGAGTTCCCTCTTAGATTCTAGTACTTGAATTGCCATTGAATTCATGGTGTTAATTAAACGAGTCGAGTACCGAAAGTTAATGAAATCTTTTACCTAGTTTTTCTATTTTTGGTATAACATAAATAATTTTTAGCTATTTATTACTAATTTTTTCTTAGTAAAAGCAGTAGACCATCTTCTCTAGGCCAAATCATTTAATTCGTGTGAAACCTTTCATTATTAGACTAGTTTTGTTATTCTGCTAGAATGAAGG